GAATGTGCTCATTAGAGTAGCGCTGGTAATACTTCAGCATAAACACCTCGCACCCATGACACAAAATGACGGCAACTGACGACAACTGCAAGAGCCTTTTAACTTCTGCAGCTGGGAATTTCGGGATTTCTTTCGGCAAGAAAACGATCTCGACAACCTTGACTGCAGCAGTTGCACACTTGGGTCAGTGGAACCGGCTGTGTGAAATGCCATGGAACGACACTTTTGCAGGTCTTTGAGATTCTTTGAGGCCCCTGTAGCCTCCACTAGTAAAGCTTGAGGTATAGTGGCAATGGGGGTTTCAAAGGTTTCGTAGCGTGTCCAAAGTCTTATGGATTGGTGACTTTGTCGACAGGGCTGTCTCCGGCACCTTGCCGAAGACTTCCGCCATAAAAAGTGCTTCTGCTGTTCTGACAAAACAGAGAGAATTCGACATCTGACCCGAGGTTGCGGTATGCATGTGCAATAAACCCGAAACCCTAAACTTTCCACGGCTCGCCAGGTGCTGATCCAAGTCACTTGAAGGGCAGAGAAGCTGTCCCTTGCATGTGCACGGCCTTGCCAACATCAGGGATCCGAATAGCAGGGCTTGTAAGGGATAGGGATCCTAGCATTGGGGCCCTTAAGGGACAGGGATTCTTTCTTTTCTTGACAATACTTTATTTATGAAATAGATTTTTCTCGTGCCATATCTTATAATAATCAATATTCTTCATTGCAATTTAAATAGAAACATTTATTTTTCCTAAAAGTCATCTTAAGAGAAATACATTCAAGTAACTAATTTAGCAATCTGAATGTGAATCTCTAAAATTTCCAGTAATTCCATTTCTTTCCTCGAATCATATAATTAATTTAAATAAATAAGATGTAGATTCTTCTATATATAGATATTCTTTTATCTATCTATCTAATAATATATATATATATATCCAAAACAAACTGAATTCGTTTCTTCATGCCAATTTGTTCCGTCCATTTTTGTCCGCGCAGGTGATGCTCTTGCCGTCGGTCGAGGGGTTTATCACCTGCAATCATCGAGTTTGCAGCGAGAATTGATACAAGTTTGAAGGCAGCAGAGGCACCTGTAGTGGTAGGCTTTGCCAGGAGACTGGCATCATCAGCACAGGGATACTTCAGCTTCATGCTGCGATCACGCTACCAGGCCTGACCGATCATGTGGTAGCAGAAGTTGAAGGATGCCCACTCATCTTGATCAAAGGCCTTGTGTTGGACCTGGCACGTTTGATGCTCATGAAATCAAAATCTTCGCTCTCGTTGTACTGGCTTCTTTTTGCTCTTTGCCGAGAGCATTTGGCCGCTCTTGCCCCACAGATCTTGCAGTCGTTACTGTGGTCCTGACCAAAATGCCAGATTTGGCGACCTTCGATCTTGATAGCGCCATGGTTGATGGCTGCTTCTGCTCATCAACCCGCATTACCAGCCTCGGCATCTGAACTGACGGCTGCTTCTCGCGCTCTCCCCGGACTCGACCCCAACAGTTTGCGGCAGCTTGCCTGCTGTCTTCGCATCTGGCTTTGGAGGTGACGTAAGTTGGCGACGGATAGCTTAGATGGCTGAGACGGTGCATGACTTGAGGCCTCTGCTCAGGCAGTGTTTCCGCAATTTAACATTTATCGCACGGCGTGAATCGATTTCGGATGGACACAGTTGATACTACCAATCCTGTATGACCGCCTTTCTAGCCATCTTTCAAGAGCAAAAAATTGTCGCCACAATACTGTTGCACTCGGCCCTCATTCACCGGGCTCTGTTTGAAATGCAATGGCCATCATCAGCTTGAAAGCCACAGCTTCATCCTTCTCCCAAGGGAGTAGGATGTCGTGGTCTGTTCTCTCTGACCTCCGTATCTTTTTTCAGAGACCATGTTGATATCGCCTGAGCGAGATTTTTCTTGAGCACCGCCGGGCCCTAAGATATCATGTGGCCTGCGCTGTATGAACATCCAGGCTTCGCATCAGTACTGCGCACTTGCGCGCTGCCTTTGCACTGCGACAAGAGTAGCACTGCAACTACCTCCATGTGCATAGAGTTGTTGGCAGATGTCCCACCTGTCCTCATACCTCTCACGGTGCCGTAGCAGCTAGCATCCGTAGTCGTGACTGCTTCCTGCGCGAGAATGTTGCGGCTCCAGCCTCCAGACTGCGGTGTTACCCATGTGATGTCACGCGCACACCTTGTAGCGCGTCCCAGCCACGTACCCCATCAATGTAATAGCACATTTGCAAGCGACTTCGAATTTAAAATTCCCAGCCGCAACGGCACCAAGAGTAGCGACTAGGTTTGTCAGCTTAGCAGAGCCGAACGGACTGTACAACAGACCGTCGGGTTGCAGTTCCCTGGACGGGGGCAGGTCCTACACAGGAGATATGTTTAATGCTTTGGCATATCCTGAACAAAATATGCCCCCCTGCCCTCCACCCCCCCCCCCCCAGACCGATACGCCTCTAAGCCTCCAGCATCCTCCAGCTAGCTGGCCAAATGAAAGGCATGCCCGATCACAAACGCAAGCCAAATCATGATGCCTCCATGAGCTGTTGTAGCAGCTCGGATGGTCTCAATGGACGGTCGAATACCTTCACATACACCGATGTACATCGGCATGCCATGCAGAAGATATCCCGAGCCATGTTCACAAGCGGAATCCAATAATTACTTATCATTCTAATCCCATCGCAGCACAGTTCTAGTTATAGTGAAAGCAATACATGTTATAATGGCTATAATAAGAAATGATACAGTTATAGTATAGTTGTAGTTATAATTTATAATAATAGAATAGCTATGTGTATAGCCCTTAATGGCGGCCTTCGACTGGATCAACAGGGCTTCGGACAGCCGTGCCTCCAACCTTGGCAGGAAGTCGCGGTCTTCAAAGTATCTCATAGTATATCGTAGTTTTTTGGAGTCTACAATGGTCATAGTATATCGTAGTTTTTCGTAGTATACCGTGGTATACCGTAGTATACCAGAGCATACCATAGTATACCGTAGTATATCAGAGTATATCATCGTATATCATGGACTAGCATTGGGAACCGGGCTCCTCATAGGCAAGGCCATCGGGACCCCAGTCGAGACGAAGCAGGCGCCGCACCTGCATCTTTGTGAGAGCCACGGCATTCAGTCTCACTCCTTCTGTGCAAACCTTCTGCGACACCACCACCCGCACTCCCGACTCGTGCGGAGGCACCTGAATCGCCAGGAGCATCATGCGCCTCGGACATGTGCTTTTTGCGGGCCCATCCCACCTCCGATTCTCGCTCCGTCCGTTGGTACATGATGGTGTACCTCGGATCCGTCTGCTGTTGGATGCTTCTGTTCATCTAAACTCTGGCGCCCCGGCTTGTGACCTTGGACGCCATGACCGGACTTGACCTGTTTTTCGCCATAGCGCGCAAGCAGAGATCATGATACGTCCAGCACCACAGCCGCGGCCTGCTGCTGGTACAGGTAGGCGGAGTCGTACTCCTGATCCTGCTCTTCCAGCTTCGCCAGTAGCATGTTTAGGAATTCCTTGGCCCACGCTTTTCCATGCAAGCCAGAGGAGATCAAGTGGGCACCTAAAGAGCCCAACACCCCTCATTACTTCTGATTCAATTTATGCTCCTTAATTAAGGGGTATTGGGCTCTCTGGGTGCTTCCAGCTGAGGATCAGTGCATTTTGGCATAAGGTACTTGTAGTGCGCGCACCACAGCAGCCTGACCAGAAGCATCTTTTAGTAGATCAGAGATAGTTTGTATAGCGCATTATAGTAAGCAGTACTCCGAAGTACACTGTAGTAAGAAGTGCAGCTCCCACCAGCTCGGGGCAGGAGTCCGGCTTCACCGCCAGCTTTTATCCTGCTCAGGCACCACTTCTTTGGATTAGGGTTCAAGGTCTAGGATCTAGGGTTCAGGAGTTTGGGGTCCCTTCTGTCCACAGGTGACACCCATGCCCATAATGCTATGATCACCACGGGAATGAGGGCCCGACGCTGCGACACCCATGTCTGGCTGTGCCACTTGGTAGCTCCGAGTCGCTCACTTTACATGGTAGGCTCTCCTCCGTGACTGCAAGCAACGCAACAACCACTTCCCACACAACCTCTTCATAGTGGACCGTGCAAGCTGTCAATGCCCGATGCTCGACGCTCCATGTATTGACAAAACTCTTTACAAGTCAGACTGCTGGGTCTTGGGTCATGCGTTCCAATCAGAGTGATGCATGGTTTCCTGGGAAGCTCCCAGCCGCGAAGGCTTTGCAAGATGTCAGCCGCAGATGAGCCAGAAGCAAGGGCAGATCGGACGCAGCATGGCAATTTCATGCAATGTTTCTGTTTGAGCAGACGGAAAGGCTGGAAAGTGAAGCCGAGCGATTCTTTTTTCCCACTTTCGTCCTGCGAAGCCTAGCACACGAACAGGCAGTGCCGATGGTTGGGGCTGACACTGTCGCTGCAAATGTCAGGATCATCAAGATCCCCAAGATCGCGCAAGAAGTTCTTATGCGTTTGGAGCCGGTGGAACATTATGACTGCCCTACCGTGCTACACTGCAGTACTGAATCATTCCCTCAGGTGCATCACCGAATGTACAATAAGCACCTGACAAGCAAGCTTCCACAATCCAATAGCGTCTTGCACAGACATTGGATCACAGCTGAGACCGCGGCGAAATCGCTGAGGCAGCGGTAACGGGGAGGCGGGAAGCAGCCGAGCTTTACCAAAGATATCGGGAGCGTTCATGGCTACTTCAAGTTAGCCAACTGCAACTGAAGCGAGTTTACACTAGTCACTAGTCTCACAGGTCACAGCCGCAGTCCGCATTCCACTTCGATCTCTGGCTTCTCTCCTCAGGGCATTCACGGAGCAACCGCGATGTCAACTGGAAGTATATGCACTGCACACCGTAGTGACACAATGAGCTGCGGGCGTCTGCCCCACGTACTTCAGCTTCGCGACTTCCCATCGTCCATAGAGGAGCGAACAAACACAACAAAGTAGAAAAGGACTATGGTCTGAAAGTCTGAAAAGCTTCTGAGAAAGGCGATGACGATGCTCGACGTGCTTGGCGTTCTTCTCGATCTCACCTGTCACTCAGCCGAGGAATTTGTCTTTACCCGTCTCTATCATCCCCTTCAAACACCGTGGTGGAGTTGGAAGAAGCATCTCCTCTCCTGCACTGGGAACTCTGGGCTTCTTCAAGATCTCACCAAACTTTGCGCATCCCATCTCTCGGACACGTCTGCAGTGACTCGGGGCCCTGAACAAGGCATGGATTTCATCCACTGTACCTCGGCTTCCCTGACGAGCCATCAGCTTCCACGAGCTGCTTGGACACTGCATATCACTGCATCCTTTCTGAATCTTTCTCTCTTCATGCTGTGAATGACACACGACGATGGGGACCTTCTTCTACTCTGAGGCGCTCTTCCCGGACATCACCGCTTCTCAAGCACGGCTGGTGCAAAGAAAAGCTGCAATAATGCGCGGAGGAACTCCCATTAGGGAGTTATGCAGGCGGCATGAAACTGTTCGATTTCCGACTCGAACGGAACCACGACGCCGTTGGTGGGTGCAACCATTTCGTTGTACCCTGGCTGGTTTCGCGGACCGAATCTGCAACAGCCAGGCATGCCAGTGTCTGCAGAAGGCTTCGTGATGAAGATGACCACATGCCCTAAGCCCTGCCATGCCATGCCTGGTTACGAATGATGAACATCCATGAACTTCTGTGCTCGGCTGACTCGTCGTGTCTCTCCTTGATGGCTGGGTCAAACTCTCCGATGAAGGCGACAGAAGGCGGAAATAATAGATTCACGTTTCTTCACTCGCCGAGGCACCAAAACGGCGAGGAATTTACGGACACTCCCCGCTCCTTCTCCGGCACGACTTGTGCAAAGCAAAGCTGCAATAATGCGCGGAGGAACTCCCATTAGGGAGTTATGCAGGCGGCATGAAACTGATCGATTTCCGACTCGAACGGAACCACGACACCGTCGGTGTGTGCAACCATTTCCTTGTACCCTGGGTTGGTTTCGCGGGCCGAATCTGCAACAGCTAGGCTGCGCCAGTGTCTGCAGAAGGCTTCGTGATGAAGATGACCACATGTCCTAAGCCCTGCCATGCCATGCCTGGTTACGAACGATGAACATCCATGGACATCTACCTTGATGGCTGGGTCAAACTCTCTGATGAAGGCGATAGAAGGCGTCGGAGGCGGCGGAAATCGAAAACTCATAGACTCACGGTTCTTCACTCGCCGAGGCACCAAAACGGCGAGGAACTTACGGACACTCCCCGCTGCTTCTCCAGCACGACTTGTGCAAAGAAAAGCTGCAATAATGCGCGGAGGAACTCCCATTAGGGAGTTATGCAGGCGGCATGAAACTGATCGATTTCCGACTCGAACGGAACCACGACACCGTTGGTGGGTGCAACCATTTCGCTGTACCCTGGGTTGGTTTCGCGGGCCGAATCTGCAACAGCTGGGCCGCGCCAGTGTCTGCAGAAGGCTTCGTGATGAAGATGACCACATGTCCTAAGCCCTGCCATGCCATGCCTGGTTACGAACGATGAACATCCATGGACATCTACGCTCGGCTGACTCGTCGTGCCTCTCCTTGATGGCTGGGTCAAACTCTCTGATGAAGGCGATAGAAGGCGTCGGAGGCGGCGGAAATCGAAAACTCATAGAATTCACGATTCTTCACTCGCCGAGGCACCAAAACGGCGAGGAACTTACGGACACTCCCCGCTCCTTCTCCGGCACGACTTGTGCAAAGAAAAGCGCAATAATGCGCGGAGCAACTCCCTTTAGGAAGGATTGCAGGCGGCATGAAACTGATCGATTTCCGACTCGAACGGAACCACGACACCGTCGGTGGGTGCAACCATTTCGTTGTACCCTGGGCTGGTTTCGCGGGCCGAATCTGCAACAGCTTAGGCTGCGCCAGGGTCTGCAGAAGGCTTCGTGATGAAGATGACCACATGTCCTAAGCCCTGCCATGCCATGCCTGGTTACGAACGATGAACATCCATGGACGTCTGTGCTCGTTGTTGGCTCCTCTTCACCTCTCCTCTACTTGTCTATAGCAGAGTCGTGTCCTCGATGCAGGCGTGGTCAAACTCTGCGAGGAAGGTTATCGAACGCATCGGATTCATCGAAGATCGAAAGCTCGTAGCTTCATAATGCTTGACCCACCACGGCACCACCACGATGAGGAACTTACAGATTGCCTACAGCATCTAACCTACAGAAACTCGTACAAAGACTCCTACGTGCTCGCCACAGCGAATTCTTCGCTGGCAGCACTCACTTCAGGTCTTTGCTTTTGGAAGATCTTTTGCTTTGCCTGTCAAGACACGCGTTGGCTGCACTTCGAACGAAACTCCACTTGCTCCAGCACAGCAATCAGAGGAGCCCTGCCTTCCTTGCAGCTTCGCTGGGAGCTTTCTGCTCCGATTCAAGCACTGCACGTAGTTTGAGAAATTGTGAACGACTTGCGTGACTGACTGTTGCGTTGCGCCGATAGCTACACGTGGGGAGCCGTGCACTCCGGAAAGGAGACACGATTACGTTATGGGGGTGAGAACGTTGGACCACGTCGAAGCACGTTGAACCACTTCGCACGTCGCCATTGGTCGTTGAGTCTCGGTCATGGACTGGGCATTGAAGACCACCCGGCATCCACCCGCTGGATGAAGCAGGTCACCAGGAGAACGAAGAGAACGAGGACTACCATGCGTCTCGATGGGCGAAAGAGTGGGCGCCTTGAGGTCGTGCTATGGGCCCGGCTGTCACGGTCGGCGAAGGGTGGTGCTTGAAGGGATCCGGCGAGTGGACCGGGCCCCTCCCCCCACCAAAACTGGGAGGGCACTGGAGCCCCGCTCCCTCCTGGGCTCGGATTAGAAGAACCTGGGAAGGGCCGCTAGGGGCCCATAGCAAGTCGAGGAGATCGCATCCATGGCTCCGGACTCCTCGATGCTTGCACGCAGCCTCGGCCAAGTTTAGGGCCTTCATGGCCTTCATGTAGGGTTCAGTTATGATCATTCTTATTACGATTCTCAATAGTATTACTATTATTCCTTGTTACTATGGAAGGTTTCAGGGGTGTTGAGCGCCCGGCTGCCCACCGAAGAAGGAGAACCACCCTGCCTGGAGAAGCATTCTGAAACGGCAAGGGCAAAAAACGGTTCAGGGTTTAGGGTTAACTGCGAGGAATTTGCCTCTGACCATACCGTCAGCTCTCCGGATCCAGACTTCGGAGGGACCTCAGCAGACCGGACCATATATACCAGTATTCGTAGTTCTTATATATATATATATGTATATATATATATATACAGAGCGACTTGATCGGGGCCTAATTGGGGCCGATCGCCCATAGTAGA